CTGGGCCAGACATCGGGCCCTGGGAGACTTGTGTGTCTACTAACCAAACTTCTGGGCAACACAGCCTCCTCCGAAAGTCCCCAAAGATGAAGTGTATGGCACTGTAAGAATAAACGGTTGTACAGTCTTAACAGTTTTCGGAAATCACAGAATTGCAGTCTCGATAAACTAGATGGGGCGAGGTTCTAACCACCAGGGAGACTTCACAGGGCCTGCATTCACTGTGACCCCACTTCATCAGCACCACCCACTGGAACCTTTCCGGCTCGACCCGTTTTAACCAGCGGAGACTGCGTCCGTCTCCGGGCTGGCGGTTCAGGGGCCGCCCCCAGACACGCACGGCTCCCCCTTCCTCCATCCGGAGGGGGCCATCCGGCGGGACCCGCGGCCCCGGTCTCCCCTCTATCGGGGAGAGGGCACATTCCGAGTCCCTCCGACGGGGTGGGGCAAGGGCTCCAGTCCCCTCTGGGTAGGGCGGCTCCTACCGGGGTCAAACCGGAAGCGGAAGCCCACGGCGCACACCCGCAGGAGGCGGATACCCGCAGGGGCGGGGCGGGGAGCGTGAAGCGCCGTTGGTAGGCCGCGCGGCGGCGCGCGCCTGCGCCCTGGGGTGGGGGCGGGGCTACGCGCCGCCCCGCCCCCCAGCTCATCCGTGCGCGACGCTGTCGCTCCGAGTCGCGTCACAGGTGCGGCGGGCAGTGCAGCCGGCGGGGCCGCGGTGAGTTGACGCGCTCGCCGGTTGGCGAAGGCGGTGGCGGCTCGGGCCGCGGGCCGGGGCAGCGAGGCTGGGCCGGGGGCAGCCTCCGAGCTGGTTTGCTCCGGGGTGCTCCTGGCCGCGGGGCCCGTAGGTGGCTTCCGTGCCTCCCTGCGTCCCGCCTGCCTCTTGGGTGCGGGGCCCGGGAGGAGCGCCGTCGGCGGTCCTGTCTTGCATCCTCGGAATGCTCTGTGCAGCCTCGAGGTTAGGGCTGGTTTCTCGGGAGAGCTCTGTGACCCTGAACGCAAGTTTTCCAGGGCTTGGGCCACGCTGTCTTCGTGGGTGGCGGATAGGTACGAGCACAGGGTGGGCGCCTGGGTTCCCGTCACTTCGCGTGCCACACAGCCTCGTGGGTTACGAACCTCCCTGGGCGATAGAGCATGTGCAGCGTGACTTGGAAACAGGGGAGAGCCATTAATTCCGCTAAGGAATTGAGAAAGTTGCCTAAAGAGAGGAGGTGGCAAGAGAGGTTCTGGGCGCCTCTCGGCTCGCAAATTACCTGTGATGAGAGACTGGCGGAAGAGGTGGTGATGTGGCTTGGCAGCCTTCACTGTAGCTTGTGTCCACCGTTTAAAGTCTTCTGAGGCTTCCCTAAGCTCTCCAGGTTACCAGGAAGGTGCAAGTGGTAACAAGAATGCCCACTGGATGGGGTGTAGGGGTCAGGGCGCCAATCCATGGGGGGACCCCACCCCACAGCAGGGCCTGGCTCAAATGTGCACCCCTCCACTGAAGGCCACCTTTGTCCCCAGGGGTCCAGCTCCTTGAAAGCTGGCGTCCTGCAGACCTTCCTACTCCTTGTTCCCCCCGAGATGTGATCCGGGTCGGAAGGGCAGCAGACCTGGCTGCAGCTCCTTCCTGTCTTTCCTACCCTGGGCAAGGCCCTGTTTAGGTTGCAGATGAGTGAAGCACTGTGAACCTGACTGAGATCTTCACAGACAAGGGTCATTTAGAAATTGCTTGTTTTTCCTCTTATCCTTGGAAACCCTTCATAGTGGCCTTTGGGATTTGCACATTTAAAGCGAGTAAGCTGGATGGTTTCTTCTGTCCCTGGGTAGAATTGAGTGGGCGGGCATGAAAGTGGATGAGAAGAAGAACCACATTTTTATGTTCTCTAATCTCTAGCTAAAATTTAGCACTTCCTCAAGTTACAACTGTAGACAACAAACCACAGTTAACAGTGTGACTTTGTCACCAATAGAAATCACAGATATTTCCACATCTTACCATATTGTGTAAGCTCATCACAGCTTCGAAATTATAGTAGTTATCAGACTTGATGCTATGTCTCATTATGTTCTTTGTTAATAGTCACTTATGCAATCAACAATTTAATTTTCATATTTTGATAACATTTTATTTTGGTTGATCCTTCCTTGTTATTCCCAAATTCTTTATCTGCAATTGCCTACACACTAAAATTTATTTGCTGCCCCAAAGTCAATAGTTGCGGTGCTTTTGTGGTCTCTGACGGACAAGTGCGCGGTGGTAAAAAAAAAAAAAAATTTGAGTCGCCTGACACATGCTCAGTTGCAGCTGACCAAGGAGACACTGCCTTCTTGTTTCAGCCCTCCACGTTAACGAGTCCTTTTTTCCAGTTTATTTAGTGTCGTGACTTTTGCATTTTTGTACTTTTTGCCGGTGACATCACTGTTTATTTTATTTTATTTTTAAATTTTTATTTATTTCTAGGAGAGAGAGAGACAGCGTGAGCAGGGGAGGGTCAGAGAGAGAGGGAGACACAGACCGAAACAGGCTTCAGGCTCTGAGCTGGCCATCAGCACAGAGCCCGACGCGGGGCTCGAACCCACGAACCACGAGATCATGACCTAAGCGAAAGTCGGACCCTTAACTGACTAAGCCACCCAGGCGCCCCCGGTGACATTACTGTTTAAAGTAGCCCCCGAGCACAGTGCTAGCGTGGTATGTCAGTGTTCTCCGTGCGAGAGGCAGTGAGGTGCCTTACGGAGAAGATGTACGTGTTGGATAAGCTTCATTTGGGCTTCAGTGCTGCTGGGCAGTGAGTTCAAGACTAAGGAATTAGCAGTATGTGTCCTGTGAGCTGTCTTTAAACAGATCCACACCTAACACGAGTTATGCATTGATCGGAGGCATGCAGGACCGTAGCCCATGTCTCCTGGGAGCAGTGGGGATTCCCAAAGACTTCAGAGAACGTGACAGCCCTGAATAGCAAGAATTGACAGTATTTGGTTTCCTTTTTGGTCCCATGGATTTAAAAAGTCCTGAGAAGGGGTCTGTAGGTTTTACAGGGCTGCTGGAGGGGTCTGCAGGATGCACACAAAATATTGACAGTTATAGCCTGAGAAATTAAATTTGTTCTTAAAGTACGTTTTTGTTGAGCTGAGCTAAGTCCTTGAAGACTCTGATGCCTGTGGGGAGACGTGTGTCTCCAGCAACTGACCTCATCCACATGTTTGTGGGCTCTTGGGGGCTTTTTTGGCTGAGACCCCTTCACGGGACTATACAGCTTTGCTCCCACATATTTGCTTGTTGAGTTTTGAATAAATAATATTTAAAATTAAAAGGGCCTGTGGTTTTACCTCCCGGAAGAGCAGCAGGGGAGGGCAGCTGGTCCCTGTCTATAGTCAGACTTGGGGAGAGGAGCACCTGACGTGGGTGGGTGTTAGTGGGGTCCCTGGGCTCCAGGGGGGCTCCGCACCACCCGGTAGAGCTTGTGAAGGGGCTCCTGGGGCTAATCCATAGGAGAATCAGGGCAGAGGTTGCCTTGTTTTCTTGGTAAGGGGAACCTCGTGTATCCCCCTCTGTCCTGATGACACCCCCTTACTGAAGCCCTGATGTCTCCACAGAACTGTCTGGCCGTCAGCTCTTCATCCTTGGTTAAGGAAATGACCAACCAGGTAAGGGTTTGGTGATGGGAGGAACATGAGTTGGTCTCTTTGGCAGGTCGAAGCCCAGAATGTTGGGTTGGGTGTGTAGTCAGGAAACTAGCCTCTGAATCCTGCTCTGCTCCTCAAGTGCGTGACCCTGGGTGTCTTGTCACCAGAGCGTTAGGTGGCACTAGTAAGATGCACTAAGTCTGTACCTTAGTTTACAGACGCATTGACAGAAAGAATTTGTACTCAACGGGCGCCCGGCTGGCTCAGTCCGTAGAGCTTGTGACTCTTGATCTCGGGGTTATGAGTTCGGGCCCCACGTTGGGCATAGAGTTTACTTAATAAAAAAAATAAAAATTAAAGGAATTGGTACTTAAAAACCAGAAAGAAACAAATATTGGAAAAGGAGACATCTTTGTTGTAATAGGATTAGGGACAGCAGGGACAGGGTAAGCGGCTGTGTGGTTTTATACAACTGCAGAAGTTACGCTGGAAACTGGCCCCAGAGCCTCCTGGTGACCAGAGCAGGGAATGCATGGAATTTATCAGTGACCTGGGCAGGGGCAGGGTTGGGGGAGGTGGGGGGAAGCTCTGGTTTCTGTAGGAGTTGATTTTTTTCTGGTGTAGTCGACCATGCAAATCTTGCATGAGCAGGAATCAGGGAGCCTGCAGGATGGTCAGGGTGAGGGGAGGACATAGCTCCCGTGGGGGTCTACATCCACTGGAGGGATGGCTGGGGAGCGGGGTGCAAGGGGTGTTGTATGGGAGGGGAGGGGATACATCTGAAGTCTGCCTGTTGGTCTAACGTGGCGTCTCTTCTTTTTTAGTACAGTATTCTCTTCAAACAGGAGCAAGGTAAGGAGCCGCCTGCTCAGGCGCACTCACCTGGGGAACTGTGTTCTCCCTGTTCCTTTGGGCGTGCTGAGCAGACGCGCAGCCCCAGTGTACTCTGCAGAGGACCTGACGGAGGGTACTGAAAACAAGTACACTTAAAAACAAACAAACTGTGGCAAAAACCCCAAGACAACTAACTGAAAGGCAAAGACAAAGCAGGAGTCACATAATAGACTGAAGGAAACTTTTCCACCTGTGCAAGATGCAGCTCTGAGCTTCCCAGCTCCCGGGGTGAAAGAGGAAACATATGAGCTTAGAACTTGCCTTGGGAGCCTTTACTCTGGTTCTTCCACTTCAGACAAGTGCGGGGACTCCCACAGAGGCTATGACCCTAATGAAAGTAGAGGGTGTAACAGCGCAGGGGGCTGTGGGCTGTGCAGTAGCGGCTGTGGGGGCGGGGCGGGGCGGGGCGGGGGCAGGTCCTAGAGGCCCTAGTCCAGACCGGGAGTGCATCTTGCCAGGGATATTGCGCTTCGCACAGGTGCGTGTACTGCCAACCACGCCTGGACGAGTCAGGTGGAGCCTGGAGAAGTTTGTGGGAAAAAGCCCAATAAAAGCTCTTCCACTCTAGTTAACACTTAGGGGATCTGAAGTTTTAGCCAAAAGCATTCTTCCAAGTTAGCTGGGATGAGGAACAGGCCAACGAGGCACGCCAGTCAGCTAGCCGGTGTGCCAAACGCTGGCCGGCGGCCTTCGGGTGGGCACGGTCATTGGAGCCACGGTGCTGTACGCAAGTCACAGCTGTTCAGGGCCCTTACATTCACATCTCGGAAAGGTGTTCCTTGACTGTTGCCACCAGGATAAATAAAGGCTCGCTCTGCAGACCTGACCGTGAGGCCCCCAGATATGCAGCTGGCAGACTTCAGATGTAAGGTGCACTTCAGTTAATAGATTGGGTTGGGGTTCCAGTTTCACTCCTTAGCTCTGACTTTGGGTGAGTTACTTGGCTTCTCTAAGCTTCTGATTCCTTGTCTGTAAAATGAGCAGCTACTTCATAGGGCTGTTGTGATTGAGGTGATACTTAAAAAAGAATTAATAACTGATTCATTAAGCATAATAGACATTGTGGCAAGAGGCAACTCAAGTATGGAGGTATTTGTTTTCAGACCTGTACTGTTTGCAGTTGAACTCCCTGTTGGTTTCTAAAGATCTCTAAGAGATAAGACTTGATCAAGTGTAGGTGTTTGGTTGGGGGTGAAGGCTTCCCACGACAGTTTCACTAGATTTAACCAAGCGATAGCCACTCCCGACCGAGGCATGCCAGTAACACCGGATCGTTCCAGTGCTCCCTCCCACCCGGTGAGCCTGGGATTTGGGGTAAGTGGCTTCTTCCGAACCGCGCTGTTCACATGTGCCTCTGCAGAGCGGAGGGGAGAGCACTTTGCCGGTAGGGGCAGGTGGATAGGCCTCAGAACTGTTGAAGCAGTATTTCTGCTTCAGTTCAGAACAGTTTAGAAGTTGCATGAAGACTTCAAAGTGAACTGCTTTCCATTCTAGCCCATGATGATGCCATTTGGTCAGTCGCTTGGGGGACAAACAAGAAAGAAAACTCTGAGACCGTGGTCACGGGATCCCTGGACGACTTAGTGAAGGTCTGGAAATGGTGAGTGCTCTTTCCCCTAACAGCCTTGCAAATTGGGGTTTGGGGTTTTGCTTCTGGACTCCCCCAAGTTGCAATCAGGAAAGTATTAACTGTTTTATAGGCTACAAAGCAGCAGTGGTTTGGTGGTATAAAAAGGCAGTTTATTTTTTCCTCACTTTTTCTCCTTTTATTCAATGTTAAAAAAAAAAAGAAAAAAGCCCCACAGTTAAAACTTGGCTGCATTTGTTGTTCTGTGGCTCTTCAGTTCCTCTCCGAGTCTGCATTTCACAGACTGTTGGTAATGCGCAGTCTTGGGGGCCCGGAATTTCAGATGCCAGGTATAGCGGGTTGTGTGTGAAGAAACCATTTCTCTGTCCCCCGCTGAAGGTGTGATGAGAGGCTGGACCTACAGTGGAGTCTGGAGGGACATCAACTGGGTGTGGTGTCCGTGGACATCAGCCACACGCTGCCCATTGCTGCATCCAGTTCTCTTGATGCTCACATTCGCCTCTGGGACTTGGAAAATGGCAAACAGATAAAGTCTATAGATGCAGGACCTGGTAAGAGTTTTACTTTTAGGGAAGATAATAGACATTCACAATCCCTTTTCAAAACCTCTAGGGATAGATATATTTTACAGTTCAGAATTTTTTGAATTTGTCCTTTTCTCTAAAGTTTATTTATTTATTTTGAGGGGGGCGGTGTGAGAGGGGCAGAGAGAGAGAGGATCCCAAGCAGGATCTGAGCTGTCAGCACAGACACCCCTGACACGAGGCTTGAACTCCACAACCTTGACATCATGACCTGAGCCAAAATCAAGAATTAACCGACTGAGACCCCCCAGGCGCAAAATTTTGTGGATTTGAGAGGATAATGTGGGTGCATAAACGGTGTGTTACGTGATACCTTTGGTGGGGCTGGAGGATAGCACTCCAAGCATTAATATCTCAGCAACTAAACATGAGTGTTGGTATGTCCATTCAGGTCTGATTTCATTGCCAAATTTTGGTACGAACCCTGTTAAAAAATTCAGTTGTTTAGAAGCCTTAGATTTGGGGTTGTGGACCTGTACTCGGATGGTCCAGGGGCTCTAATTTGATGGGTTGGGGTCTCTCACACACGGCACCGTGTCCTCTTGGACCTGATTCGTGGCAGCCTCTCCTATGGTCGCTCTGCCTGCCTCCTCCCATATGTGAAACTTCTGGAATAACGTTTGTTGTTTTATCTAAAGTATCGTAGGACAGCATAGTCTTGTCATCAGCCTTGATAAATACCTGGGGTGGTCGGGATTATTGATTTCGGTGGGCTGGGCCATGTGGCACAAGCAGCATGACATCCCCTCAGCGTTACTTGTAAATGTCTGCGTGGCATTCACGACCGAGGCTGCTCGCCAGGATGGGTGGAGAGCGCAGGGAGCCACCTGCCTCCATCACAGAGAAGCTGCCCAGCTGTTTCCCCAGTGCAGTTCCCTTACTGGAGTCCCAGGTGGGTCTGCCCCCTACTGCTTCTGCTCCGTAGCCACTGCAGGCTGTCTGTGTCGTGGAAAGCATAGTAGTCCCAGGGTTTGTAAGGAGGCTAGGTTGTCTGGAAACTGAGTGTATTTCCCCTCAGAAGTAAGACTTTCTTGTCTCTGATGCTCACTACTGGAGATTTTTAAAGGATACGATGCCCAGACTCTCTTTTGTTTCCATTGAAGCACAGTTATCAGGGTGTGTGGACTGGGATATGGATTTGGAAAAGGCTACGTATTTGGGAGACATCGACTGCCCAGATGGTTGTCTCGCCCATATCCTTACATGCTGACGTCACTCACAGAGGACTTGGGGCCCAGCCCAGCCCCCAAAGTCTGAAGACTGTTACAGAGTCAGGGAGAGGAGAGAGGTGGATCTGTTGCTGCCATTTCACCTTGGGCACCTAAGCCTTCCCCAGACCTATGACTCTGAGCTCACTGCGTGGCCACCATGGCCGTGGGCACACTGCAGCTGAGGAAACAAGTGCTGGATCGGTTCCAGGGAAGAAGGGGGTCTGCACCCAGCTTGCCGTCCCTGACAAACAGTGCCATAGGCAGCCGGGCACCACTCCCACGTACAGCATGTGCTTGCTAAGAGGTCACTGTCAGGAAAGGAACGGGGTCCGGAGACTCGTCCAGGGCTTGGATTTCTCTTCAGTCAAGAATCTGCACTCAGCTCAGCCAGGTCCCTCGACAGCAGTGACTTGGGTGACGGAGCAGGTGCTGCTGTTGACAGTTAAAAGAGCAGCTGAATCATCCAAAGGTTAACTACTCGGATGATGAAGGTGGGGATGCGGACACTGAAGCTGTACCTTCCTGGAAAATATGCACAGGGAATGCGGCCTGATCACACACAAAAAACAAAAAAACGAAAAGTGAAAATGCCCAATCCTGAGGAGGAAAGCGAGGGTGAAGGTGGAGATGCTGCTCGCCAGCGCTTGGGAAGGGGGTGGGGCAGGGCCTCCGCGAGACGGCAGGATGCCCACGTTGGGGGGGGTGGGGACTGCTCGCAGTGGTGTGGTGGAGCCGAGTGACGAGCACCCGTGTGTGTTATGCAAATACAAGTCTTGGCGTGCAGGGATAAGAATCCCTTCCACTTTGAGCATAAGGATATTTGATACTAAAAATTCCATATTGTAAATCAGTCAATAGGGAAATGTTAAAATAATTTAGACATGTTACTCAAACTGCAAGAAATAAAAATCAGATTTTCTAATAACTCTTATTTCTGTAAATAGCTAATTATAATAGGAATAAGAGCATGGTCCTGTTAGAGTAAATGCTAGTTTCTTAATAGTAAAGACAGATTAAAAAGCAGCTATTGATTATAAAAGCTTTTCAGATCTTGATTAATTGAGCATTCTTTTTTTTTTTTTTTTTTTAATTTATTTCTAGGAGAGAGAGAGAGAGACAGCGTGAGCAGAGGAGGGTCAGAGAGAGAGGGAGTCACAGACTGAAACAGGCTCCAGGCTCTGAGCTGGCAGTCAGCACAGAGCCTGACATGGAGCTCGAACCCACGAACCGCGAGATCATGACCTAAGCGAAAGTCGGACGCTTAACCGACTAAGCCACCCAGGCGCCCCAGAGCATTCTTTTTAAAACATTATTTTTATGTTTATGTATTTTTGAGCAAGAAAGACAGAGCGTGAGTAGGGGAGGGGCAGAGAGAGAGGGAGACGCAGAATCTGAACCAGCTCCAGGCTCCAAGCTGTCAGCACAGAGCCCGACGTGGGGCTTGAACTCAAAAACCATGAGATCATGACCTGAGCCAAGATCAGACAATTAAGCGATTGAGCTACCCAGGTGCCCCAAAGTTAATTTCCTTTTTAAAGCATTTCATAAGAAAAATGATAGAGCTAAGTTATTGATGACTCCTTTGACTACTTATGTTAAAATTTGCAGGGGATTATTTTTTAAAGCCCCTTGGAAAACACTGTTGACCCATCTGGGCTGGGACCCCTGTCTGCCATGCGTCCAGCTCAGTGGCCTCTCCTCCATCCCGGGGGTTGGGAAGGGCCTGCCCTCGGTGAGCCCGGCCTAGACATGAGGAGAGTGACTTGGGAGGGAGGCTCTCTATGCTTTTACAGGCACTGTCCTCTCAGAGCAGGGTGGCCAGACTTAGGGCACATTCCTGTACGTGCACATGGGCCAGGAGCCGGGCAACTAGATGACTCCCTGGCTAGGCCCGAACCTCAGAGGTTCCTGGAGCTCTCTGGGATTGTCTCTGAAGAGGTTCCCAGAGAGCCCAGAAAGAAAATGCTGAGGGCTGGCTGGGGGGCTCAGTTGGTTGGGCCTCTGACTTCAACTCAGGTCATGATGTTGCAGTTTGTGGGTTTGAGCCCCACATCGGGCTCTGTGCTGACAGATTGGAGCCTGGAGCCTGCTTCGGATTCTGTGTCTCCTTTCTCTACCCCTTCCCTGCTCATGCTCTGTCTCTTTATTTTTTAAATGTTTAAAAAAAAATGCTGAAATGCCACCAATGATGTGTCCCCAGATAGAGCAAGTTGCTTGCCCTGGCTGCACGTGAGTCCACAGACCCTTGTCACCAGCTGGAGCAGCACCGTGACACATGTGTCACGTTTGAATAGAGCTCTTGAAGTTAACTAAGTTGTATGGTGTAAGTGAAAGACCAGGTGACTTCTTCAAAAAAAACCACAGTGCATCTTTCCAGTCCTTATTCCTTGTTAATTTCGGTAAACATTTGGTCGTGTCATAGTGTGATAGAAGCGTGTTTGCGGCAGTACGTGCTCAGGCATCCACAGCCTCCCTGAGGTAAACATTCACTTCTGCGATTGCCGTGTGAAGTTAGCCCACAGTGAGTGCGCTTACCTGCGTGTTTGTAAGTCTCTGTGGACGGCTCTGCAGCTCGCTGTCAAACCCCTTGGCGTGGCTCAGAAAGCCCCCTCACATCTGTGTCCCTTGTGTCCACGTCCACACGAGTCCGTCTGTGCCTCCGCCTCAGGCAGCCGCACACCTGCTCTTGGCTTCTGCAGTTTTGTCTTTTTGAGAACTTTCATGTGAGCAGAGGTGTATTATCTTCTACACCTTTCTTTCCGTAGCGTAAGGTTTTCAGGGCCCGTCCATGTTGTAGCGTGTGTCGGTAGTTCCTTTTTATTTCTGACGAGTTCCCTCGTCACGTGCAAAACAGTTTGTTCTTCACGCACCTCTTGACGGACATTTGGATTCTTCCCAGGGTTTTACTGGGACGGGCGCTGCTGTGAACACCTCTCCACACGTCTCTGTGGAGAGTCCCCGGATCCAGTTCTCTTGGGTGGATTTCCAGGAGTGGAGCTGCCGGGTGTTGTTTTCACTAAAGAAATTGTCAAACTGGGGGCACATTAGTGGCTCAGTCGGTTAAGCATCTGACTTCAGCCCAGGTCATAATCTCACGGGTCATGAGTTCAAGCCCCATGTTGGGCTCTGTGCTGACAGCTTGGAGCCTGGAGCTGCTTCAGATTCTGTGTCTCCTCTCTCTCTGCCCCTCCCCTGCTTGTGCTCATTTGCTCACTCTCTCTCTCTCTCAAAAATGAACATAAAAAAAAAAAAAAGAAATAGACTGTAAAGAGAACAATCCCATTTACAACTGTACCAAAACCAGTAAGATACCTAAACAAACAAGATACCCAAACAAAAAAGTGAAAGGCCTGTACTCTGAAAACTATAAAACACTGATGGAAGAAATTGAAGAGGAAGCAAAGAAATGGAAAAACATTCCATGCTCATTGACTAAAAGAGTTAAGATGACTTAAACATCGTTAAGAGGTCTATACTACCCAAAGCAGTCTACACATTTTATGCAGTCTCTATCAAAACACCACCAGAGTTCTTCACAGAGCTATAGCAAACAGTCCTAAAGTTTGTATGGAACCACAAAAGACCCCAAAGAGCCAAATAATCTTGAAAAAGGACAGCAAAGCTGGAGGGATCACAGTTCTGGATTTCAAGCTGTAATACAAAGCTGTAGTCCCCAAGACAGTATGATACTGTCATAAAAATAGGCACATAGATCAGTAGAACAGAATAGAAAATCCAGAAATGGACACAACTATATGGTCAACTAATCTTCAAAGCAGGAAAGAATGTCCAGTGGGAGACAATCTCTTCAACAAATGGTGTTGGGAAAATTGGGCCACTCTCTTACACCAGACGCAAGAATAAACCGAAAATGGATTAAAGACCTAAATGTGAGTCCTGAAACCATAAACATCCTAGAGCAGAACCAGGCAGTGACTTCTCTAACTTTGGCCACAGCAGCTTCCTTCTAGACATGTCTCCTGGGGCAGGGGAAACAAAAGCAAAAATAGATACTGGGACCTCATCAAGATGAAGCTTCTGCACAGGGAAGGAAACAGTCAACAAAACTAAAAGGCAACTTTTGGAATGGGAAAACATATTTGCAAATGACATATTAGATAAAGGGTTAGTATCCAGAATATATAAAGAACTTATATAACCCAACACCCCCCAAAAGTAATCTAATTTAAAAATGAGCAGAAGACATGAACAGACATTTCTCCAGAGAAGACATCCAAATGCCAACAGATACATGAAGAGATGCTCGAGATCACTTATCATCAGGGAAATGCAAATCAAAACCACAACAGATCCCACCTCACACCTGTCAGAATGGCTAAAATCAACAGCACAGGAGACCACGGGTGCTGGCGAGGCTGTGGAGAAAGGGGGCGCTCGTGCACCGTTGATGGGAATGCAGACTGGTGCAGCCACTGTGGAGAACAGAGTGGAGGGTCCTCAGAAAGTTAAAAATAGAACTGTCTGTGATTCAGCAATTGCACTACTAGATATTTACCCAAAGGATACAAAGCACTGACTCAAAGGGATACATGTGCCCATGTGTTTACAGGGGTGTTACGTAAAATAGCCAAGATCTGCGAGCAGCCCAAGTGTCCACTGACTGATGAACAGATAAGATGTGATATATATATACAATGGAATATTACTCAGCCATAAAAAAGAAGGGAGATCTTGCCATTTGCAACAACATGGATACATCTAGAAAGAGTGTTATGCTAAGTGAAATAAGTCAGAGAAAGAAAAATACCATGTGATCTCACTTGTATGTGAAATTTAAGAAACAAATGAGCAAATGCTGGAGAAAATCCAGACAAGCCAAGAAACACTTAACTACAGAGAACAGACTGCTGGTCACCAGAGCGGGGGCGGGGGGGGGGTGGCGGTTCGGGGCAGGTTACATACGTGACGAGGACTAAGGGGGCACTAATGAGCACCCAGTGATTGAAATTAGAAACAAAAACCGTCGCACTGGTTTTCCGAGTAGCCACACCATTTTATGTTTCCACCAGCGTATGAGGATTTTGGTTTCTGGATATCCTTGTTAACACTTGTACTGTTCTTACTAAAATTTAAGTAGATGTATACTAAATGGGTAAAGAATTAACATCTTTACACATAGGTTTTTGAATTGGGACATGGTTTCTAATTTTTTTAAAATGTACCTATTGGCAAAACTTTTTAAAATTAAGGTCACATCTTTTCTCACCGGTTTTTTTTTTTTTTTTTTCTCTTTTTTTCTGCTCAGTGGATGCCTGGACTTTGGCCTTTTCCCCTGATTCCCAGTATCTGGCCACAGGAACTCATGTGGGGAAAGTGAACATTTTTGGTGTGGAAAGTGGGAAAAAGGAATATTCTTTGGACACGAGAGGAAAATTCATTCTTAGTATTGCATATGTAAGGAAACCGCGCTCTCTTCTCTGCCTTCCCCCGTTCACAGTCTGCTTCAGGCCTGTGGCCGTGCCAGGGGCAGGCTCTGCGCGGGGCCCTGGCGGGCGCTGTCTGGCAGGTGTGGGCTGCCTCAGCAGGGGCTCTGCTCGAGTTTGGTGGGGACGGCCGGGCAACACGGAGTCTCAGGTGCTGTCTGCGTGTTCCCCGCAGAGTCCTGATGGGAAGTATCTGGCCAGTGGAGCCATAGACGGCATCATCAATATCTTTGACATCGCGACTGGAAAGCTCCTGCACACGCTGGAAGGTAAGTGGCTCATTTTCTTTTGTGCAGACTGGGTTGTCCAATCACAGAAGGGTTCTTCTGTTATTGAAATGCTACTAAGTGACAAATGAGCTTTATAGTATCTCAGTTAGAAGTCTGAGACGCCTCCAAGTCTTAGCGTGTGGTCGGCGGCGTACCCCTGTGGAGTGCTTGTTTGGGTGAACAGGCTTACTCATTTTTGGGTTAGTGTATCTCAGCTGTATACACTGACAGGTTTCTGTCAGGTTTGGTTCTACAGAACTTTGTGATTAAAATCCAGTTGTGGGGCGCCTGGGTGGCTTAGTCGGTTAAGCGTCCGACTTTCGCTTAGGTCATGATCTCGCGGTTCGTGGGTTCGAGTCCCGCGTCGGGCTCTGTGCTGACTGCCAGCTCAGAGCCTGGAGCCTGTTTCAGTCTGTGACTCCCTCTCTCTCTGACCCTCCCCTGCTCACGCTGTCTCTCTCTCTCTCTCTCTCTCCTAGAAATAAATAAAACATTTAAAAAATACATATATATATAAACCAGTTGTGACAAGAATCTGATGGTGGGTGCAGCCCCCTGCCTGCCCTCTGCTCTTGGCCTCAGGGTGTGGGTGCGAGTCCTGTCCAGCGTGGTGGGTGGACGGAGCCTTCAGCCTGTGCTCTTTTAAATGTTTATTTTGATGGAGCAGGAGAGAGACAGACAGAATCGAAAGCAGGTTCCGTGCTGTCGGCACAGAGCCCGACGCGGGGCTCCAATTCACCAACTGTGAGATTGTGACCTGAGCTGAAACCAGGGGTCTGACGCTGAACTGGCTGAGCCCCCAGGCGCCCCCGCCCTGTGCTCTTTTGTACTAGTTTGAATTCTGACCAAGTGCGTACACTACCTCCTCGGTTTATTGTTTACCCTACGGCACAGGATTTGGTGCCGCATCCCGTTTGTTTGTTCATACAGATCAGAAGCAGCGTGTGTTTCCTTATTTGTCTGTATCTGTAGTAGGGGAGTTTTTCCCAAGCCTTGTGCGCTGGGGTCCAACTGGTGAGGGAAGGGAGGAGAAGTGACTCCAGGGCGAGGGTCCTGGATCACGTGGATGTTTCCAGAACATTAGGAGGAGGGGTCCCTCCAGTCATTCCCCTCCCTCTCTGACGAAAGCGCCTGGGCGGTGCAGCCCAGACTTGTGGTCGTTCCAGGGGACGTGGTCAGTGGGGGCCTGTGGTCGGGGCACTAGCAAGGGCCTTTGTGAATTTCAGGCCACGCCATGCCCATCCGCTCCTTGACCTTCTCCCCGGATTCTCAGCTGCTGGTCACTGCCTCAGATGACGGCTACATCAAGATCTATGACGTGTAAGTTGCCATGGAGACTCGGGCTCCTCGCCCAGGCCCAGGTCACGTCCGTCTTGGCTCCCGCTGCTGGGAGGAGTCCGGGGGCGTGTGCGGCCTGTCTCCCGGGTCCCATGGGGGCTTGTGTGTGGGGCCCCAGGCCTTCCTCGCCCCCTCACACCCCTGTCCTTGAACTGAGAATGTCTGGGAGGGAGATGTGCACTGTCCACATGCCAGGATCCGTCTTCCTGCCTTTGCTCAGCCATCCTGTCTCTTGCGGGGGCTCTCTGATTTTAAATTCCTTCGGGCAGGTAAGTAGTGTGCGGGTGAGGAGGTGTAGGAGTGAGTGATCGCTCTCTTCAGGTCATGGCCGTCTGTCATTGTCAGCCTGTGCAAGGCCCCCTTTTTCCTGGGCTCTTCCCCGTCCTGTCCCCCCCACAAGTCTCCCCTGAGAGGGGTTTGTGTCCTTGACGCTTTGACTTGGTACCGAGATCTGAGTGCCTCTGGTTCATGACTTCCGAGTGTGGCCTCCTGATCCCTTGGAGCACACGTCACACTTCTCCAGGCCCCAGCGATGAGTGGGTGCCCAGCTTGCCGCCACCTGCCTGTGCCACAACCCTGACCGTCTGTGTGTGAGCCCGTGCTTGGGCCTCTGAGGGTTTTTTGGGAACCACTTGGCAATAGGAACACTCCTTCTAGCAGCTTTGGGAGGCCAAAAAATTGTCAGTAACGCATGGGGCTGTGGGGCTGTGGCTTCTGACAGGAGCTGACTGGGGGTATTAGGACCCGGCGCAGGGGGTGCCTGGGTCCAGTGTGCTGGCTTGTTAGGACCCGGGGGGCGAGGGGGTGCCTGGGTCCAGTGTGCTGGCTTGTTAGGACCCGGGAGGCGAGGGGGTGCCTGGGTCCAGTGTGCTGGCTTGTTAGGACCCCGGGGGCGAGGGGGTGCCTGGGTCCAGTGTGCTGGCTTGTTAGGACCCGGGGGGCGAGGGGGTGCCTGGGTCCAGTGTGCTGGCTTGTTAGGACCCGGGGGACGGGGTGCCTGGGTCCAGTGTGCTGGCTTGTTAGGACCCGGGGGGCGAGGGGGTGCCTGGGTCCAGTGTGCTGGCTTGTTAGGACCCGGGGGGCGGGGTGCCTGGGTCCAGTGTGCTGGCTTGTTAGGACCTGGGGGGGCAGGCACTTTTGGTGTGACATCTGCTCGGGATTCTCTCTCTTCCTCTCTGTTTGCCCCTCCTCTGCTTGCTCATGCACTTTCTGTCAAAATAAATAAACTTGAGAATGTGTATCCAAGCCACGTCTCTTACAGAGTGGATATGGACACGTCCCTTGGACACGATGCACCGGCCCCGTGTGGGAAGGGTGCTGGCTGTGTGGTGGGGTCAGAGTCGCTGCTGCCCCACGCCGCCTGCCTGCCCCCACCGGCCCGCAAGTCGCGTCTGCGGTCATCATGCTGAGCCGCTGGAACAGTACTCTTTGCCACTAGGGCAAATACACACATTTTGTGCTAATGCTGCGGTACAGATTTGTTTCCTCTCCATTTTGATTGAAACGTCCCCATTTCAGACAACACGCCAACTTGGCTGGTACACTGAGTGGCCATGCATCGTGGGTGCTGAATGTCGCATTCTGTCCTGATGACACGCACTTTGTTTCCAGGTACGTATGATCCTTGGCACTTCCTTACATGCTGGGAAGATGAAGATGGTCTTTTATGAATCACCTTAAAATCTGAAGATGGTCTGACCCTTTTTTGTAGACTTGGTTTCTGCATTGGTTTTGTGTTTTGTTTGATGCCATGAAGGTCGCTGTCCTTAGCAGGAACAAAGATGGATCTTCTCAGTCTAGGCTTCCGCACGTAGTTACTTTAGGAGTGGATGCCTGTGTTCTGACAGTAACTTAAAATACGTAAATCTGTTTGCAGAATGTTGTGCTTTTAGAGCCCAGTGTCACTCAGGCCTGGGACGGCCAGACCTGGTGACAGACATGAGACAGTTTACTAGCATCGCTCTTTGAGGAGCGAGCCTTCGTTTGGAGGCTGGGACAGGCCCCCTCGATCTGGAAACAGGCACAGGTGTCTGAGACTCCTGCTCAGGGCACTTGCATGAGGGCAGGGCAGACAAAAACTTCAGGGAAGTGTCTGCTCCGTGTCGGGGAGGCCACAGAGATGCCGGCACCGTGCCCCCCCCCGGGGCCCGTGCTGGCCACTGTGCAGACAGGTGGGCAGAGTGTAGGTGAGAGGAAGAAGGTGGGATTTCCGGTCACATTCCTTCCAACTTAAAGCCAGAATGAAAACTGTTTCACTACTAACGTTCCCCTTTCTGAAATAGTTCGTCTGACAAAAGTGTGAAAGTTTGGGATGTTGGAACGAGGACTTGTGTTCACACCTTCTTCGATCACCAGGATCAGGTAGGGCCCAGTCCCTTCGTGTCCTCCGCCTTTCCTGACCCACTGCGGGGCCTTGGGGCTCCCTGCTCGGTGTCCGTCCAGCCATTGTCTTGCGGCCTGCCTGGGCCACGGGCGCTGCGGACGTGCTGGCAGCCTCGCGAGCCGTGAGGTGTGATGTCCTTCCGAGGGCCGGAGAACGTGGCACTAGCCACACAGCCCGCTGGGAGCGCCGTTCGGGGTGCGGCTGCCGTGTGGCTCAGGAAGGGCCTTCCCCAGAGGTGCCCGTCGCTCAGTCAACACGTCATTTTTGGAGCTGTCCGCAGGAGTGATGAGATCTTTTCTTCTCTCGTTTTTTCCTTCTTTCTTTAACATTCTTGAAGCCACGCATTCTGACGGGTTGTTTGGCTCTCTCAATACTGGTAACTGTTGCATCAGTCTTAACTGAAAAGGAGGCTCTGTTCCCAGAGGGCCTTGTCGTCTTTGCCAGTGCGGAAGTGAACAGAAGCGGCGTCCCAATGCAGGCCCCCCACCCCCTGTCCGCGGTGTGCACGGGGCCCCCGGGCCTCCGGTAGGAGGCAGAGGCCCGCTTAGTAGGCCTGGCGCGGGGCCTGGGGCTCCGCATTTCTAACCGGTGCCAGGTGAGGCAACTGCTGCCGGTCCCAGCCACTCCTGACTAGCAAGCCCTGGGAAACTCGCTAGTTTAAAAAATAAAATGTCCAGGGTAATAAAAAACTCGACTTTTAATATGTTACTGTTTTTATGATGGTACCCTCTTTTTTTTTTAATTTTACATTTGTTTAAATAATCTGTATGTAGGCCCAACATGAGGCTTGAACTCAACCCCAAGGTCAGGAGTCACACACGCCACCCACTGAACCAGCTGGGGGCCCCGTCGATCCCCTCTTTGGAATGCAGCTTAAAGTTAACATAATTGTTCATGCTTTTTTCCATTTAATCTTAAATCATTGCTAACAAATTTGATGAGATTTAATCTCGATCTTTCACCTGGATTTAAACATGTTGCTGTGGGAGTAAATCCCCCTGGCTGGTGGTGTTTCCCTGTGCAAGGGGCTGAGTGTGTTGTCCCAGAGGTGGTGTTTGGAAGGGAGTGAGGCCATCAGCCTCAGTGACAGCACTGAGGTTGAGTCTGGACACCCCTCGCCCCTTGGGTCAGAGTGACAGGCTGACCTGAGCAAACTCCAGCCACATCACTTTGTCAGGAAGGTGGTGTGACTGTTAACTTCAACACGCAGTAAGTAACATCCATGTCCCGTGATGCCCAGTTACCCAGGTCGAGGCCTCAGGGTGAGAATCACTGGCGGGGGGTGGGGGGCACAGCAGTGAGGCGAGGTACGCTTGGCCCTGCAGGCCATGCCCTTGGGATGGTCCTGGAGCCTTTATCTTTCTGGAAATGTAATGAGAGCCCGTGCCTGTCCCCTGTGGCTTCCGTCTTCATGGCATTGGGTCCTTCCTCAGATTCTACAAACCGAGGTTTGTAGAATATACTGATTTGTATTTAGAAATGAGATTTTACGGAATATGGGAGGTGAGGGAATGTCGCAGTAACAATGCAGGATAATCCGGTTAAAGAAAACGCCCCATTCTTGCTGGTTCAGAAAACACGGGGACGCCTTCCTCTCGGTGTTTTTCTAGATTGGGTATTGTGAGAATAGAGAAGGATGTTTGTTCATAAAGAATAAAGACACTAGAACTTTGTTTTTTCTTTTTATTTGATTTACAGGTCTGGGGAGTAAAATACAATGGAAATGGCTCAAAAATTGTGTCTGTCGGCGACGACCAGGAAATTCACATCTATGATTGCCCGGTGTAAACACCAGTCTCCCAGGCCAGTGCTGCAAAGAGGATGTATACACTGATCATGACATTCCTTACCTTTCTAGCTTAACAAAATAGAGCATTTATTGTAGCAGAAACTTAAATTTTGTAGATAAATATAAATCTTTACATGTTTTATTGGAAATGCTATTCATATTTTTACAAAGTGTCGTGACTTGAACACGCTTCTTCCACGTACCCTGTGCCGGCGGGAAAGCGGGGGAGTCAGCGTCGTGGTGCCCCAGAGACGAAGGGACCCAGGCATTGAATGAACTTTGCAGCTTACAGGCACAGGCCCCCTCCTCCAGGGCGCTGAGGCACGCAGAAGCGGTTTGCACGCAGAAGCGGTTTGATAAAGCCGATGGGTCTCACAGTGGGGTCCTGAAGGGTACAGGACGTTTGGCCGGGTCGGAATGTTCTGGAGTCCTAGCTACCTGGGCATCTATTTGGTATTTTGAGAACTTCCATTGCCGCCCTGTGCGCCCTGTTACCTTTGGAGAGGCATGTGGCTTGCCGGTAGACACTGCCACCTCGACAGCATCTAAGGCTCCAGCCCTGCCTCAGTCTCCCCAGAGGACCGGCACCTCGGTTCTCTCAGCAGCCTGCGTGGAAATGGCTGACACTCTGAAGCTTCTTTTTATTAGGAACTTCACATGCCTGTCAGGTCGTGTGCTTTTTCCCCTAGGCCCCCAGCACCCTTAGAACCCGCACCCCTCTCCTGCTTCTGGGCCTTGGTCGCCCTCCCGTAACCACAGAGCCCTTGACGTCTCCTCTGCCCGGAGCCACCCCAAGCCCACAGGGGGTCTCTTACGGGTGCCCCTCCCTGCTACTCCTTCTGTCCGCAGCTGTCGTCTGTATCCAGTGTCTGCACTTCTCCTCACCCCGATTACAAGCTCCGGGACAGTGGAGGCCAACCCATCAGATCGCCACGTGAGGCACTTAACACCCGTCTGAGCTCGAGAGCACTTAAAAAACCAGAAGCATCTGTCTCTCTTACCAGCTTAGCTTTAATTGTAAAGTGACGAGTGTACAGGTGGAGGAGGTTTTCAGCAACACCCTCTAGATCCCACTGCCTCGCCGCCCAGGAGGGGCTGGACGTGTTGTGCCCCGTCAGCAGGGTTCTGACGCCCTGGGGTCGTGGTCCATTTGCGAATGGATTTTCACAGGCTTAGTTGAAAGAGGAGGCTTAGGTCTTTCCCAACAATGGTCAAAGCTGGGGGGGGGGGGCCTTGCTCTCCGTATTTTGAGCAAGTTGTGCCCACCCCCCAGGCTGGTGACGCCTGCCCCACCCCCCCCAGCCGCTTGCCCTGACTGCCACAGGCCTCCAGTGCCCTTCGACCCTTCTGGGGGTGGCGCCTGGCCTGTGGCGACCTCTGTTCTGCAGAACCAAGAAGGGCGATCAGACAGGCGGCCTCGGCGTTCGCCTGCCCAGCGGCTGGGGGGGCAGTTTCTGCGGACTGGCTACCGGGGGAGGGCAGGGCCAGCAGCGGCTAAGGGCTGCGGTCCCCTAAACACGAGCTGCGGTCGGCCTGCGGGGAGTGAAGCGACGGCTGCCGAGCCTCCCGGCAGGCCAGCACCCGCAGCGGCGGCCCGCACCACAGGCGCACAGAGCAGCGTCATGGCAGTAGGAAGCCCTCTGCGACGCGGCCGTACGACACGCGAAGGGAGCCGGGTCTGGGTGGCGGTGGCCGGGCCACGGCGTCCGGCCCAGCCCACGGTCCCCCCCCCCCCGCTGCTGCCCGGAGGCTGCAGGGCCCTTGGGAGGCTTCCTTCTCTTTGCAGAAAGCACTTTGGTGGGAACATCGCCAAGGCGATCAACAGAAAATCACTAAGACCACAGAGAACAGGGAGAGGGGTCACAAGCAAACGGCTGTGGTGGTGTTTCATTTAGAACACGTACCCCACAAGGCCAGGAAGCTTCCAGGAGCGAAGACCGTACTTGCACCCCGTTCCAGCCACGGGACGGGAGCCACCACGCTGGCCCCGGAGCCCAGTCCAGCCCACAGATGTGCCTTTGTTCTTGAGGGTCCTCTAGAATCTAGACTCGGAAGTGTCAGAGCGCCAGCCCCAGGATGAGGCCCTCGGTCCCTGCCCTGGGAGGGGGGCCGGGCGCGGGCACCGGGGCGAGGCGCCAGGAGCACACCGTGTCAGTGCGGCCACCGGCATCTCAGAAGTCTCCTGAAAGTGTAAATAAATGGATTCCACATGCAGACTAGAGGTGATTCACACTTAGAACATTTAAATATAAATTAAGCTATAACTTAAATTACAACCAAAAAAAAAAAACAAGAAAAACCAAGACGACACTCAGCAGCTGAGGATGCTGAACACGTACACAGACACCCCACACACGAGGCCGTTCGGCGATGCCATTTTCATTGTGCCAACTTGACACCCGGGGCGCCGCTCACGCCGTCTGGCACTGCACCCCGGCCCGCGGCCCGTCGTCCTCGTCCTCGTAGGTGTCCCTGTGCTGGCGCCAGCTCTGCTCGCCGGGGCTGAAGTCCTTCAGCTCCACCTGGTCCATGTCGGCCGTGACCCTCACCTTCTGTCGGGGGGGCAGGAGGGCCTCCAGCTGGGGGAGCTTGTCCAGAGGCAGCCAGTGCTTCTCCGGGAAGAGGACCTGCAGAGGGGAAGCGGGAGGGAGCGGCGCTGGTCCCCTCCCCTCCCAGCCCCCCCCCCCCCCCCAGGACAGGCGGGAACTTACCAAGAACTGGATGATCAGAGCCCCCTTCTCCAGGGGTGCTTTGTAGATGGGCATCCCCTCACTGTGCACGCACTTCAGGTCCCCGTGTTTTATCACCTCCCCTGCCGCACAAAAGGCTCCCTTAGACGCGGGAAGATGGGGGTGGCCTGGGGGCCTCGCAGGGCCTCCCTCAGAGGCCAGCTGGTTCAGAGAGTGAGGGGCGCCTTGTCCGCAGCCCAGCCCGCGCGCCTCTGGGGTCCTGCGGCCACTTTTTCAAACGGCACCTTGAGTGCTGCGGCCCCAGAGTCTAGAACAGCACCCCCCTCCCGCCACGAGGGACGGACACGAGTCCCACAGAAGCACCAATGAGGAAAGACGCGGGAGTAACGGGCGCAGGGGGAGGCCAGACGCCGTCCGCTCAGCGGCCCGAGGCGGCTGCTTGCAACACGCCGCGCACCCTCCCGGGGTCCTCAGCCGGGGGCCTCCCGTGGGCTTGCCTGGTGCCAAGGTTTTCTGTCTCCGTCCCTCCGCTCTCGCCCCCACCTCTAACGGGGGCGGGGGAGCCACACGCAGGGGGAGGGCGAGTGGCTGCTCCAGGGGCACCTCCTCGTGGGCCCCGCGTCCGCGCTCCCACAGCAGGCGGGGGAGGCAGCAAAGCCGCGAAGCAAGCCCCGACCAAGAGAGGTAAACCACAAAGGACAGGACACAGAAAGGGGCAAACACGCAAAAAGAAACAATAAGTCTCCAGCAGGTGGCTCTCTGGAGCCGTGCCCTTCTCGTGACTAAGCGAGGGCGTGGGGGTCTCTCCTCTGCACCGGCTCCCAGCCACCCACCCACCAACCGCGGCCCAGCAGCACCCCCATCAGAGCTGGGGCCTTGTGCTCTGGGCCCTGGGGGAGCCTTCCCCCCGCCCCCGAGCGAGGGAGGAATGGGGCCCGGGGAGGGGTCCAAGTGTCACCTTATGCTGTGGGGCTTGATTACGTGCAGACACACACAGCAAACAAGGAATCAAACAGGGTCAAGTGTTAACAACGGGCAAACCATGTAGGAAGATCCTTGTGCTATTGTTACAATTTTTTGTTAGTTTGAAATTGTTTCCAAACAAAAAGTTAAAAAAAAAAAAAACTGATCAAGGCTTGGCTACCTAATTCCATTTCCTTCTACATCAGAGGAGAAAGACACGGAGCAGAGGAGGAAGGCAACAGAGAAAAGTAACACGGCCACGGAGGGAAGGGAGCAAGGACGTGCAGAGGAGCGAGCGGCGTGGAAGCCGGGCGGCTCTGGGGCCGCTCGCTCCGCCAGACCCGAGGGCCTCGGCACCGGCTGCCACTGCCCTTGGACCGGCAGATTCCATCCCACCCAGCCCCCCACCCGCCCCTGCAGCCCTGAACCCCGGACGCCCACCAAGGGGACCAGAGCCAGTCTGCTCACAGCCAGAGATGGGATGTGTCGGCCGCCACACCTGTGCAGACCCCGCCACACCTGTGCAGATGTGCTCTGGCACGGACGGTCCCCTCCCCTGCCCTTCCCCCAGGGCCCTTCCCACCAGGCGCTCTGCTGCCCGCCCCGATGTGGCCCAAAGGAGCCTGCCGTCCGTGTGTGCTGGGCCCTGGAGGACCGCCGTGGACCTCGGGAGTGCTCCCCGGGTGTGCAGACGGGCGGCTCTGCGGGAGCACCCATGGCTAGGCTGACAGGCAAGGTCTTCTCGGGAAACTTCTACTTTGCGACGTGTCCCAGGTGTAGTGGACAGTGCAGCGGCTGCGGGGACCGCCTGACAGACCACCACAGCCTGTTACCGGCTGTTCCCTCACCAAAGGCAGGCAGGTCCCAGTTAGAGTGCTGGACCCCAAGATTCCTGTTTGAGGCTCTTCCCCCAGACTCTGAATTCTTTTTTTCTAGGGGAGTATTCTAAAAGCTCATGAAATTCTCAAGTCATTAGCCAGGACTTTGACCTTGGGGAAAACGAAGTCATGCTAAGTTGCGTGACGCAAGTCCCCCAGCCCCAGTGTGAAGCCAGGCTAGGGGCCAGCAGTGTCACACGCAGTCAGCCACACAGCACAGCAGTGACGGACATGCCTCTGAAATGTTACCTGACTTGGACGTGATAACAAGCATTCGATCATCCAGCGTTTTTATCGTCTTCTTGAAGCCGCAAAGGGCTTCCGAGAGCTGAATTTTCATCTTCATGATCAAGTCGTGGCCTCGCCTCTGAAAGACGCCGTGGTCCTTCTGATCGAGCACGATGATGACATCGCCAGGCTCCAGCTCGGGCTCCTGATCTCCTTCTCCATGAAACAGTATTTTCTGCCCATCTTTCATACCTAGGAGACAGTGTCCTTGCTGATTACCAGTCTCTTAAAAAACCAGACCTCCCACAAGGCTGTGAAGATGGCACATGGTCCTCGGGGAGCCGGAGCGGTGGCTGGGCTCGCACTGCCCCTCCCCACCAACCCGGTACGTGGCCCAGCGGGGACGCCCTCCACATGCGGTCGGAACCACTTCTCGCTGCACGTGTGGTGCGTGGCTCTGGGGGTGCATGTACACCGGCTCGGGGTTCAGGATGCTTCAGCCGGGGTCCTTTAAGAACACCCGTCAGCCTGGGTGTTGATTTGTGCACTTTGGCATCTCATCCCTCGTGCAGCAGGATAAATCACTGGATTGGGGACCCGCAGAGTACTCCGTGGAGAACCGCTAACAATGAAAAAGGCCTTAAGACAATGGCGCCAGGCACGACGGACAGCAGGGGGGGGCCGCACCGGCGAGGACCCGCGCGGCAGGGGGAGGTGTGCGGGAGCAGCGGCCACACCAGACGAGCTCGGCGGCCCACGTTAGGAGGGGTCCTCCCGGTGACCCTGAAGGAATAGTTGGAAAATGGCGGGAGAGCAGGTAACCGGGGTCAAGGACAAGTGACCCTCAGAGCACTGGAGAGCCTTAAAGAAGAGGTTATATTGATCCCAAGGGAGCAGACCCCAAGCAGACTCTGGCAGGTGAAGGGGACGGCAGTGGAGCCGGGGAGACCGGGGCGGGGCGGGGGGGCCGCTCGGGTATCCACGGCGGGACAGCGCGTGTGCCCACGGTCGGCCCCGAGAAGAGTCTCCAGCGGGCGTGCGGCGCAGAGCTGGGCAGCCTCACCTTTTTTTTTTTTTTTTTTTTTTTTTTTTATTTATTTCTAAGAGAGAGAGAGAGAGAGAGACAGCATGAGCAGGGGAGGGTCAGAGAGAGAGGGAGATACAGACTCTGAAACAGGCTCCAGGCTCTGAGCTGGCANACAGACTCTGAAACAGGCTCCAGGCTCTGAGCTGGCAGTCAGCACAGAGCCCGACGCGGGGCTCGAACCCACGAACGCGAGATCATGACCTAAGCGGAAGTCGGACGCTTAACCGACTAAGCCACCCAGGCGCCCCAAGCCTCACCTTTTTCAACGTGTACCTCGATGAGCTGCTTCTCGCGGGTCACCTTGGCGCCGCCACAGTTCTCACAGCGGTCCTTGGGGCTGATGCGCTGGCCCTGGCCCTTGCACTCGACGCACACGGTCTGGATCTGCTGCACCATGCCCGGCCCGATCTGCTGGATGTGGACCTGCATCCCTCGGCCCTTGCACAGGGGACACTTCTCCACGGAGCCCTTCTTCCCGCCTACACCTGGGGGTAGGGGCGGGACAGAGAGCTGGGTGCCAGGGCACGGGCGTAACCCGCCGTTACGCAGGACACGGGGGGTGGGACTGTTCACAATCACGGAGAGCAACGTGGGAGGGCCTGGGCGATTCTAACAGAGCGGGTGATGCCAGATGTTAACACAGGATTGCAAAGGTTCGCGGTCCTGGCCTCGCCACGCTGATTTGGGCTTCCTCGGCCCTGTCTTCTCCCACCCCTGCCCACAGGGAGCCGAGCGGGCCCAGCGTTGAGGACGGGAGGGGGGTGCTCCCCAGATCGGCCAACTCAGGACAACATGCATCTGAGGTCACCAGATACTATTTTTCTTTAAAACTCCCGTTTTTAATTTAATTTAATTTATTTTTAATGTTTATTTCTGAGAGAGAGAGAGAGAGAGTGCAAGTAGGGGAGGGGAAGAGACAGAGGGAGACACAGAATTCCAATCAGGCTCCAGGCTCTGAGCTGTCAGCACGGAGCCTGACGTGGGGCTCGAACCCAGGAACTGCGATCATGACCTGGGCTGAAGCCTGACACTTAACCAGCTGAGCCACCGAGGAGCCTGGCTTTTAAATTTTAAAAAATTAACAAGTGAAATAAATGTCAGTCTACATAAAAAACCATACAGGGCAAAGTAACACATATTTGGCCCTTAGGCCACCGGTTTGCAATCTGTTTGACCCTCATATTTGAAAAAAATCAAGTTGCATATCAGAACCATTTCGTCCTCCAAGGGCTCAGAACTACGAGACTCGTTCAGACATTAATTTTTACCTTCACATTTCTCACAAATCACATTTTTCTGGAGGGCCAACTTCTTTGTGATTCCATTATATAAATCTTCAAGAGTTACAGACAACTGATGTACAACATTCTTGCCTTAGGGGAGGGAGAGAGAACAACTGAGAACATGGTAGTAAATGTGGCCACGCGACCCGAGCCGTGCCCATCACTCATTCCCAGGTGCTTCTGTCACCCCGGCTCCCCCAGCCGGCCGCCACCCAGAGCCAATTCCGTCTGGAGTCGTGAGCATCGATAGATCTAGACAAAACAACGTTCCGTCTTCACTTTCTCAGCACCCCCGAGGCCCGGGCGATCGCAGGGGCCCTGCCCAGGGCTGCTGCTGCCCCCCCCACCGGTGCTCCCCACGGGGGGCCCCTCCCACACGGGGAAGGTGGCACCTGAGGTCCAGGCCTCGAACCGGACTCTCCCCCAGAGCACAACGCTCTTTACTGTGTGAGCCCTTCTGTTGTCTGGCCAAGCGGGAACTCTCGTCTGCATCTTGGGAGGAGGGGGGTCAATGGAGGCCCACAGGGTCGGACTCCCCGCCAGCCCCCCAATGCCCATGGGACCCTCACAATCCCTGAGACAAGCTGCCGTTTCCTAGCCGTCAACTCTGAGACACAACTTGATTCAGGGTGTGAACTGGTTTATCTCGAGGCAGTGAGGACATCTGTGATTTTAGTTGTGTCCGTAATAACATCGATGACAGGAGCCGGCTACATGCCCAGCCCACAGGGTGAGATTTTCTGAATCTCCACATGTGTTTAAGACTTGACGGCCAAGCTTTTGAAGCTCAAATCTATTACAATGTAAAAACTCTTTCTTCCAGAAAACAAATGCCACCTGACTCCTCTGGGGCGCCTCCTGCAGGCTCGAACCCCCCTTCTCAAGCCCCAACACAGAGCTTTCCCCTTCTGATTTTACCCAGGACTGTAAGAAGCTTGGCTTTCTATCTGGTTTCAAGGTCCAAAGCAGGTATCAACAGCGAACTAGAAGGGGGAAGGGCAATTAGAGACCGCGGCTACCAGCCAGAGGCGGGCAGCTCACAGCCTGGCAGGAGGAACACGGTGGAAAAGCAAACCCCAGAACCCAGAAACAGCAGCCTGGGGCCATTCGGCCAAGGGTGGCCCCTCCCGCAGCCCCCGGGGATGCAGCCAGAGAGAAGCGGGTGAATCCCGTTCCCTGGAAAATCGGAGCGGGCTGAGAAAACAAGACCCCAGTGCAGACTGCCAGCCACATACAGAGCGCAGGGCCCGGGCCCAGGTCAGGGAGCAGAGACGGCAGGTGCCATTACGTCCCTCAGGGCCCTCAGGGGCCTGAGCCCAACACAGAGAAGCAGAGGGCAAGGTGAATCTGCTCCCCGGGCACCGGAGCGCTTGCTCCCTCGCAGGCGGCGTCCGGAGGCTGTCAGGTGGCACGGGAGCCGAGGCGCCCCAGGTGTCGGGGGCCCCACACGGGGTGAACCATTTAGTGCTAACAATCCCCAAACATGACATGCGCACCCTTCTAAGGCATAACCCGTCCTGATTCCAATAACACGCGTGACTGGAAAACTATAAAGCTTGCGGGGTGTCTGTAACAAGTACTTACCTCTTCTGTCTCTTGCCATGCGTCCTCCACCACCAAAGAACATGTCAAAGATGTCCATGGGTGACGAGAAGCTTGGGCTGCCCGAGCCTCCTTCCTTAATCGCCTGTTCACCACCCTGGTCATAAATGTCCCTTTTCTTTGGATCTGAAAGCACTTCATAAGCCTGGGATATGAGCTTAAACTTTAAGATAAAACGAGAGAGAGAGAGAGAGAGAAGGTTTAAGTAGTTTTGTTAAGCACAGCCACCATCACGGATGCAACGGCACGCGCATCCTGCACACGCGCATCCTGCACACGCCCACCCACACTAGCCGGCCCGTGGGCTCCCCGGACGCCGGTTTCTCCGGGATGCCCCTTGCAGAGCGGGAAACAGGGCCACCCGGGTGCAGGACTGGTGGCAGGGCCTCTCGGGACAGCGAGCAGAGCTCCTCCGGCCTCGGCCCCCCGGGCTCCACCTACATCGGGAGCCCTGACCCCCGACCCCCGGGTGCGGCCGCCTCCCGGCTCAGGAGCTGCCGCCCTGCTTCCCTAGCACGAAACTCAGCTACAGACGTCTGCGCGCACCACCTGTCCACAGGTGCACGAGTCCCCAGGTGTGCCTGTCCGCACGCGCACCTGTCCTGACCTCGCCCCCCCCCCGGCTCTCGACCTTGGTTCCTGCCAGCCCCAAACCCTTTCCACTCACATCCCATCTGCCTCCAGTGTTTACATCCAGGGCCTGAGGTGGACGAAACACCCCACGTGTCACACTCCTGCCAAAGCGTGTCACCGGGATACAATTATTTAAAAAAAAAAAAGTGTTAGAAAACCCAAATTGAAAGATGTTCTGCAAAAGTAAAAACCAAGGAAACTAAATGCAGTGTGATCCTGGACTGGGAACAATGGCTACAGAGACGCCGGACAAGTGGAGAAATGCCGATTTTTTCCTGAGGGAGCAAGCGTGCGGCAGATCCATACGGGGACGTGGTTTCCCCTCGGAGAGACCTGCCGAAGTTTCTGGGCCGAGGGCTCAGGCCGTGTGCAGCTTCGGGCAACCATGATGAGGCCGGGGGAGCAGAGGCAGCGAATGTTCATGGTGCCAGAAGCGGGGGAAGGGAATGCGCGTGTTTGCGCTCCTACCCCCGTCTTTCCGTCATACGTGCAGGCTTTCAAATGAAAGTCAGGGCGCTGTGAAACACCCCCAGCGCATCCCTGCTCCCCACAGCCCAGGCCGGCGCTGCAGAGGCCACCGCCGTGACGCCGCCCGTGCCAGCTGCCGGCGCCAGAGGGAGCCGGCCCTTCCTCTGCCACAGCGCTTCTGGGCAGCCCGGGCCACGTGGAGCCAGGGCCAGAGCCCACGTACCCTCAGACTGAACCCCCACCGCAGCTGGGACCCAGAGCGGCGTGTGGCGAGTGGCAGGCTCTTGGTACTTGTTAGACAAATGGCTTGATTCTGGTGGGGCTTCAGAAATGCATAGGAAGCGGGGTCCCGGCTTGTCCCCAGTCTGACACGGGCTCTATGTAGATATCCCGTCACGCAGCTGCCTCCACAAAACACACGGGAAAGAAAACATGCTGTGAAGCCATGAACACGGGTGTGCCCAGGGGGCTCCATCGGTTCAGCGTCCGACTTGATTTCAGCTCAGGTCATGATCTCACAGTTCGCGGGTCTGACCCCGAGTCAGGCTCCGTGTCAGGCTCCGTGCTGACCGTGCAGAGCCTGCTTGGGATTCTCTCTCTCTGCCCCTCCCCTGCTTGCATGTGCACACACACACTCTCTCTCAAATATATATACACACATGTATATATGTATAAATCTAACAAAAATGCTAGGTTTTGTCTTGTACCATAGATCCCTGATAGAGAGCTAAGATGTAACTAATCAACAAATGACAACTACTAATAATGAAGTAGTTTTAAAGAGTAAGTCTTCACGGTTCATTAGATCATACTCGAGGCAGCTGGACCTTCTACTAATTCTCAGGGTTTCCACAAAGCAGCAGCCACGGGTCACGACCACCCGTCCGTGCAGCAGAGGGCCGAGCTGTGGGGCTGGGTGCCGGGGGTGGTACTTCTGGCAGCAGGCAGGTCAGGCTGCGCCCCAAGATTCTGGGCCTGTGTGTCCGGAACTAAATACGCTCCCTGAGAATTTCAACAAGAAGCACTCACCAAATGTCTGGGGTACCTGCAAGGCCCTGGACTTAACAGACCCCGTGATTAGTCCCAGAGGCAGAAGCCGTGCCCGCGCTCAGCGGCCGCGTCCCACGTGGGAGGGGCTCCCACTCCTACCCGCAGGTCACCCCCCTGGGCTGCAGGTTCACCTCACAGCTGGACCCTCAATCATTCGCCACCCGACCTTAATGAGATTACTGTGCGGCGAGAAAACAATGACTCTGCAATGATGTCTCAACTTGGAAACGTCCTTCTGATAAAATACCAAGTGGCGAGGGACAAACGGACAGGACGCCCCGTCCGATCACCCCGGAGAAAGCTGTCTGCAGAGAGGCACCGTCACGGCAGTCAGGTGATGTGTGCTTGGTAGCTTTTCTCTATACTCTGCTATTTCCTGTTCCATTACGCTTTCTTTTACGATGTTTCAACTTGAAAACCTATGATCCAAACTAAAAGTTACAGCGAAATGGGCCCAAAGCCCCGATGCGCCTCCAGCCGATCACGGTAGCCGCCACGACGGCGCCCCCAGCGCTGCCCGAGAGGGACTGGCTTGCCGGTCCTGCCCGCAGGGCCCGCGGAGAGCCAGCCGGACGAGGGGACAGACTGCACAGAGCACCTGGCAGCTCGCACGGCCGCCGGCGCTTAGCAACACAGGACAACAGGGCCCAAAGCACAGGCGGGTGGCGTCCGAGCAGCCGCGCGGCGGGAAGACTGGCTTCATCTGTTTTTGAAGAGACGTTAACAATACAGTGACAAACCCGGGAGGAAAACTAAGGTCCCACCCACGACGGATCAAGTGGGCAAGCACTGCACGCTCGGGCAGGCAAGGCACGGTGTGGCCCGCACGCGGGAGCCCGGGAGGGGCGGGGGAGGCTGGGGCGCTCTACGGCAGTTTCTAAGAATTGTGTCCCGGTCTCCTTGCCCTGTGATCTCCGACCCAATTTCCACGGAGCACCAATGCCCCCTCCACCAGGAAGCCTTCCCTCCTGAACCGCCCCCTGCAGGGCTCAAACCCCCCCCCCCTCCACCCCGCCCCAGGCCTGTGACTGTGGTGGTGAGCACAGGTGCAGGAGACTGGCCCGGTGACTCGGAGTTTGGGTCGGAGTCAGCCTGCCGGAGCACCAGCCAACAACCACAAGGAAGGGCTGTGTCCCCTTATGCCCCTCATGGAAGGTGGGGAAGGGGACATCACCCCGGCTCCAGGCGGAGAGGGACCTGCCAGACTTCACCATCAAGAGCCTCATTTACGTGACACCTGTTTGGTGCCCATCTGTAAGCAAACGAGCTATAGGACAGATTTATTAGAAGAACCCACAGGAACGTGGGGCAGCTTCGGCGCAGCAAGGGCACACTCGGTCCAGCTGTGTGCACACGGTCATGAACTCACTCCTGGAAAGTGCCAGCAGACCTAACCTGACACCGGGGTCAGAAGGCTTTCCCAGAGGCTGCCTTCAGCCAGCCTCTGAAACATCAAATTAGAAGCCTGGCTATGCTCTCCTGAAAGGAGATTCTCAGGAAGGGACCCCGGCGAATTTGGGAGCGCGTCTATGAATCACCAACACCACGGAGAAAGCCGGTGACTTTCAGAGCTACAGTAAGTCGTCTAAATATAGAGGAAAGAATTCGAGTGAGTAACAGACAAATGGTCTTACAGGAAAGCATTTTAAGCTTGTGACAGCCACAGTCGGCACATGTGGCTAAATATAAATATTTTATCACCGTTGCTACCAGCCAGCCTCCGCCAGCACCGAGTAGTGAACGCAGGCTAGCACCGTTTCCACGGGTCTGAGCGTAGGCGGGTGGTCTGCCCTATCAACAACTACAAAAGCCCACCTCCCCAACACCATCGGACACAGCCAAGGTTTTACTCGAAAGTGGCAGAAACTGCAGCGAGGAGCGGGAAGGCCAACAGACCATCCCAAGGATCCACACGCAGGGTCTCCAGTCCCAGTCAGGGGCGCACTGAGCCCACGGAGACCAGCTCTGTTCCCGGGAACAGGTGTCTATTACTCACAGCACTTTCCAGCCTTTTACTGATATTTGGGATCAACTGTGGGTCATTTGTCACAGAAAACCTGGAATATTCCTGCAAAATGATGTGTCTAGATAGAGAGCTCTGTGTCCCTGTTTAATAAACGTGATTATTCAATGCCTGAATAATCAGCCTTTACCAGACTAGAGAGAGACACAGATCAAATCTGGGACTGGGTTTGTCCCAGGTCCTAGCGAGAAACTCACCCTGGGGTTTATGCACCAAGGACTGAACACAGGCACAGTTCAAGCTGGTTGTTCATGGCGAGGGCGCAACTTCCGGTGGCACGTGCCTCAGTTTACCGGGTTGCTGGCTGCCCCTCCTGCAGAACTGCCCTCAAACGCTGTGCCAGTTGGGCTCCTGCCCCCAAGTTGGCCATGTCGCGGACAGAGCGTGGGGTCTACACGCTTGCGGGTCACAAGGGGTTCCAGGGCCTGCGGCTACCTGGGTGTGACACCTGTCCCCAACCCTGACCCCAGCCACAGCCTGCCCCCACACCGCCTATGATCAGCCAGACCCCAGCCCCTGAACCCCAACCCGGACTCCAGTCTCCACCGCAGCCCTGGGCCCACTGCCTGTCCCCAGCCCAACCCAGGACCCTAGCAACGAGTGCGGACCCGAGGCTCGCTGCCTGTACCCGAGCCTGCCCCACCCTCGCCGCACCCCAGCGCCTGCCCGGCCCGACCCCGGCCCCTGGGCCCCAATCCCAGCCTCCGCCGCAGCCCGGGGCCCCACCTCCTGTCCCCGACCCAGGCCGCAGCCTCCCGCAGCCTGAGTCCCTGTGCCTGGCCCAACACGACCCCAACCGCGGCCCGGCCCCACCGCCTGTCCGTGCGCCCGCCCCCAGCCTGCACCCCCCCTCCCGCCCCTGGACCCCGGCCCCAGGCTGGGCCCCCGCCGCTGCTGGACCCCGACCCCGCCCCCAGCCTGGGCCCCCGCCACCGCTGGACCCCGACCCCGGCCCCTGGAGACCCCGGCCCCAGCCCCGCCGCATCCCGCGCCCCGCCTCGCCGACGACCGCCGCCAGTGCCCGGCCCGAGCCCGCCGCACCTTCTCGCCCTCATCCGGGTTCTTGTCCGGGTGGTACTTGAGCGCCAGCTTCCGGTAGGCCTTCTTGATCTCCTCCGGGGACGCACTGGGCTTCACCCCCAGGATGTCATAGTACTGGGTCTCCTTCACCATCTTGGCTCTGCGGGCGGGCGGGGCGGGCGAGGCCGGTCAGCGCCCCCCGGACGAACCGCCGCCCGCCCGCGCGTCCCGCTCCGGCTGCGGCTGCGGCTGCGGCTCCGGCTCCCGCCCCGGCCGCCGCCCTGGGCTCCCGCCGCCCTGGGCTCCCGCCGCCCTGGGCTCCCGCCGCCCGCCGCCCGGGGCCGCCGCACTCGGCCTCCGGCGCCTCCGCCGCGGGTTTTATTCGGCGCCGGCGGAAGGTTCCGCGAGCAGACGGTGACGCCACAAAGGCCCAGAACCTTCGCGGAGGTTCCGGCGGGGCCCTGGCGGGCGGGGCGGCGGGTGCGCGGCCGGGACCCCGACCCCCGACTCCCGACCCCGACCCCCGACGGCCGACTCACCGTTTCTCAGCCCCCTCCCCCCGCCTGGCTCGCCAAGTCCTGGGCTCGCCCGGAGCCGGACCCTGACCTGCGATGCCCCCCCCCGATGCCACCTCCCCCGCGACGGCGGCTCACCCGGCGCTCAGCCCCCACCCGGCCCCTGAGCACCCACGTCTGTCTCACCCGCCCTCCGGCCGCGACCGCCGCTCACACGGAGCTGGGCTGGACACCTGAGCTCCCGACGCCCCCTGCCCTGGTTTGACCGGCCCCTGATGCCCCCGGTTCGCGCAGCCCCCAACGCCCGACGTCTGTCTCACCCGGCCTCCGGCTGCGACCCCCGCCCCGCCCCCGCTCGCCCCAGCTGGACCGGTCGCCTGACTCCCGACGCCCCCGCCCCCGGCTCACCCGGCCCCCCGCCCCCGGCTCACCCTGCCCCCGGCCCCCCGCACCCGGCTCACCCGGCCCCCCGCCCCCGGCTCACCCTGCCCCCGGCCCCCCGCACCCGGCTCACCC